CTTGCTCCCAGAATGATCAAGAAAAGAAGGAATAAGGGTTCTTGGCAACCAGCTGCACCTGCCGGGCCAAGGACAAGTCGGTGTCGGTGGCTAGAAGCCCAGTGGAGGCCACAGCCGTCAGGGGCGCAGTTGAAGAGTCTTCGAGGCTTTCCCAGTTGTAGTGAAACTACACTTCTGTGTGCACCGTGCAGGGCACGGGGTAGTCAGAAATCCTCCAGTAAGGACGACTTCCTCTAGTACCCCCGGCCCTCCCCACCCCCTCAGGACTGTAGACAAATTGTTCTGTAGCCGGATCCCCTCTGTCTGTAGACTAAAAACTGGGCGTAAGTGGGTAATAATGAAACTAACTGCAGAATTGCATTGCTACTTTAAGACTATTTATTCACTTAATCGCCACCCCCCACCCCACCCCCAACCCCCGCCTTTGGGCCTATGAGTAACCCTAATCTGGTTGTGTTACATCCCCAATAAAATTCTGTGTCTCCAGAGTAGAATCAAAAACACTGTGAATGGCTGAGAAAATGTCTCACGGGGAATGCCCAACGGGACAGGAATGTCCACTCCTGTCATCTGGACTGCCCCTGCCTCCCCGGGTCTAGAGATGGGAGCGCTCCTTACAAGTCCAGCACCCCCACCATTTGGGGTGTTAATTGTTTTGCATTAACAATTAATGCTCCCTTGATGGCCACCTAGAATAAACTCCTCGGTATATCAGGAAACCAAACAAGGGGTAGGAAAAGGAAAATGAGAGACAAAACTAACAGGCAAACTATAAATCAGAGACATACAACAGGGGAAAAGGATAGAAACGGGAGGGAAAAGCATAAGAGACCAGAACTTGGTGGTGGGAATTTTAGAGGGATTACACCTGAGACCAAAAATCAAATATTATATAAAAATGAATATCGATGTACTAAATACATATTTGGTCCTCCCTGGTGGCGCAGCGGGTTAAAGCACAGCACTAAGAAGCTAAAGCCACTTCAGCATGAATTCAATCCCCAGCTCAGGAGGTGACCCACAGGGCTCAGCAGACCTCTCCTGACCAGCCCCCTGCTCCCCTCAGCAGTGTACTTAATCAGTCTGCCTGTTCTGCTCCCCCCTCCATCTGTGGTGAAGCCTCTCACTGCCCCTGCACTTTTGGCGTGTACCCCAGTTCTGTGGGCATAAATAAATAAATCTTTTTTTAAATGATAATAAAATAAATACATACATATTTATCATTGTCATTATTATATAATCATTATATATAGTTAAATAAATATATTTAAAAAATAAAACTCATATAAAGATTAATTCTGGTGATTCAGAATTTGGCATTTCTGGCACAATTGAAAACGTGGTTTGGTTGTTTACGAGCTGGGGGGAAATGAAAAGGAATTATAGTTTATATAGCATGTTTGTCTATTGCCAGATAAAGTGGGGCTTGTATGTCAGAGAGATTACTTTCTACCAAATGTTGACATATGGGGTGACACATATTCTTTTCTTGAATTTCTTTTGTGAAAAAAAATTAAGATTTGCTTAAGTAAGTGGATCTCAAACTTTTTAAAAAAAAAAAACTTATTTATGCATACAAGAACTGGGATATAGGCCAGAGATGCGGGGTGGGGGTGGGGATTGACAGAATTTGCCAGAGACAGAGTGGGGAGCAGAACAGCCAGACTGACTGAAATACACTGCTCTGCGGAGCAGTGGGCAGGTCAGGAGAGGTCTTTTGCACCATGGGTGTCACCTCCCTGATCAGGGATCGAACGCATGCTGCAGTGGCTATAGATAGCTTCATGGTGCTGTGCTTTAACCCCTTGTACCACCAGGGAAGGCCCAGATCTCAAACTTTTTAAAGACCAATCTTAAACTCTTAAAAATTACTAAGGATCCCAATAAGATATGTGGGTTATGTTTTGGCGGGGTTGTGTTTAAGTATTAAACTTAAGTATGAAAATGAGAAACTTCTAAAATATCTTGTTACTAAAAATCCATAATGTGTTGCCATAGTGACATTTTCATGAAAAATAAAAGTGACTCCAGGCCAAAAATAATTGAATGAGAACAATGATATCGTTTTACTTTATTTTTTTTTTAATGTTTTTACTATCTGACTTAAACGAAGACAGTAGATTCTCACATCTGCTTCTATGCTGGATCTGTAAAAATAGCTCGTGTCCTGTAGCTTCTGAAAAAATAAATCACTGTACACTGGAGAAAACGAGAATAAAAAGGCATCCCAGCAGGATTATGAAAATAATCTTCTGTTCATGAGCCCCTGTGAATGTCTCAGGAACCCACAGGCATTTTCCTGGGCCACACTTTGAGACTGAACAGAAAGCTGTAAAGGGAAATGTGTGGGTGCTGTAAGAATGCCTTACAGCCTTGGAAGTTATTCAGCCAAGCAACGCACATAAGAATATTATCCAGCTCTTAGGGGGGAAAAGAAAGGAAACCTTGCCTTTTATTACAACATATATAAACCTGAAGTGTGTTATGCTAAGTGGAATCAGCCAGACAAAGAAAAAATCTCCTTGTCATCACTCACATGTGGAGTGTAAAAACCAAAGCCCTGGTTCTCAAAGTATTAACCACTCCTCGAGTGAAATAATTTTGCACTGCTAAATGTTTGAGGGTGAACTTTGCTATGGTTTTTTTGTTTGTTTGTTTGTTTTTTTATTACAAAGTTTATTTTTACATCATTTTGCACATTTTTTTTTCCATCTCGATTGTAATCCCCGCGGGTTTCCCATCACCAAATCACCCCTGTGCCACCACCATAGTCCCGTGCATTTCCCTCCCT